CCATACCACGACGACCAGGAGGACGAGACGAAGAGATCGCCGTCGAGATCGCCGCCTGCAGACGCCGCACGCGCCGCCGGGAGGAACCTGCTGCTGGAAGTTGTCGTCGCGCGTGAGAGCGCGTGAGAAGGCCGTTTTGCAACCGGTCAACGCCGTGACGTCAGCTTTCCGGATTGGTCAAGTTTGTTCGATTCCGAGAAGATTTGATTTGCGGTCAACTGTTCGGGCCAGCCAGATCTACATAAATTTTAAGCAGTAAGTTTTCTTCATCAAACCTTTAGATCCGCTGCGAATAGGTTTATGTTGAATGTTTGTCCGTGATTTGTGCATATCGAGATCCTCATGGGTTCCAACATGATTAACCTTAAACTAATCCTCATTAATGTTAATTAATCATTATTAACATTAAGCTAATCATGATTATCTTAAGCTAATTATGATTAATTAGCTAAACATGGATTAAGTTAATTAAGCAAGGCTTAATGATGATTGCTTAAGCATAAGCTAATGATGGACGGTGTACCAAATGTGAACGCGTCGTTGTATAGGAATGACGACGTTCATATATGGTAACCTTAACTGAACGTACTCATTTTCGGTTATAAATTGACCTTGGAACTTAATTCGAATATTCTTGACTTAGACGACTAATCCGAACATTAATATTTCGAATAGTTCGTCAACTTGGCTTTTTAATTCCGAACTCATTAACTAATTAAATGAATCAGAATTAAATCTGAAAACTTATTCGATTATCAAATCGAATAGCACATCGACTAATAGTCGAACTTGGAATATAACTGGTTGAATCACTTAAACTTGAACATGAACATGATTATTTATTAACAAAGGCTAGCTTAATATTAAAAGCTAGTATTTTCCTTTATTAATAAAACTCGGGGCGTTACACCCTGGATGCATCCTTATCTGATGGTATCCTTGAAATGCATCCATAAAGCAGAGGAATTCACATCTGACAGTGGTGTCTACCAGTTTGTCTATTCTCTGTAGAGGAAAGTTGTCCTTGGGACACGCCTTGTTTAAACTTGAATTGTCTATGCACATTCTCTAGTTGCCACTCATTTTCAGAACTAAGACAACATTGGAGAACCACTCGGGATAATCTACATTCCTTATGTAATCAACATCAAATAGCTTGTCCACCTCTCCATTGATTTCTTGGATCCTATCCGGGGCAAAACTCATTTTCTTTTGTTGAACCGACTTAAAGCTAGGGTCCACATTTAGTCGGTGGACTATGACCTCGGGGTCAATTCTCGGGATGTCAGATGAACTCCAAGCAACGACTTTGGCATTGTCTTTCAAAAATTGGAAAAGCTTTGTGTTGAGGTCCTCGGGTAATGAGGACCCTATTCGCACAACCTTCTCATTGTCCCCTTGATAAGTCTCAATTGAGACTAAGGGTTCCACTGGTTCTCCTATTTTCTTAATCTTGTCCTCTGGATCTAAGCCCTCTATGGTCATAGCTTCTGAGTTCTTTCTTTTACCTTTAAGTCTACATAACATTGTCTGGCCACCTTTTGGTCTCCACGATCCTTCCCGATCCCATTCTCGTTCGGAAACATAATGAGCATGTGATATGTAGAGACTATGGCCCTCATCTTGTTCAACCTTAGTCGTCCAAGGATGACATTATAACTAAAAGGGACCTTCACAACTACAAAATCCATCATGACCGTGGTCTGCTGGAGTGACTCCCCTACAGTTCGTGAGGGAGTTATAATTCCCTCCGGCTCCACGGTTTCACCTATGAACCCCATGAGTGGAGTTTTGACTGGCCTTAGTAGTGCGCGGTCAATTTTTGTCTTCTCAAATGCATCATAAAATATAATATCAGCTGGACTGCCACTAACCACTAACACCCTTTTGACCCCTAATTCTGAATTGTAAGTGTAACCACCAGGGGATCATCATGAGGAGTTTGAATTTTATCTGTGTCTTCCTCTGTAAAGGTTATTGGTGTCTCCCTACGAGGCCTTTTCTCTTGCAGCTCACTTGTTCGAGATTGCCTAGCATAGCTTTGCGAGCAGAATTGCTTTCTCCATCAGACGGTCCTCCAGTGATGACCCCAGCAACTTGAGTATTTTCCCTCCTCGGAATCCAAGCCCTAGGGTTACCCCTGCTAGGACTTCGACTTCGATCTTTCGAGTGTCTTCGTTGAGGTTGAGGGCTACTTCTATCTTTTCCCATAAATTTCTTGAGGTATCCTCTGCGTATCGAGTCTTCAATCTCATTTTTTAGGGTTTCACAGTTCACCCGAATCCTTATCTTTTTTATGTCCGAGCTCTCTTGCTCGTCTTCTGCTTCAACTCTGGACATCTCCCCAGCGTTGATGTACTTTTCAGCCCTGTTGAAGAGTTCAGGTAGGGAAAGCAGTACATTTTTCTACAAAGAGAAATAAATCTTTGTAGACTTTCCAACCCCGTTATAAGTGCGACCGCCACATACTGGTCCATGTACTAAATCTCTAGTGCTTCTCTATTGAAACGTCAAATAAACTCCCTTAGCATCTCATTCGACCTCTGACGGACGCCCATAAGGTTGGATGATGCTTTCTTGTACCGTTTGCTACTAACAAACTTGTTGAGGAATTCTTATGCCAATTGTTTGAAAGAATAGATAGAGCCACTGGCAGCGAAGAAAACCAAACCCTCGCACTTTCTTAGCATGGCCGAGAACGCTCGACATTTGATGGTGTCGGTCTCCTCATGAAGCATTATGAGGGCTTGGAAATTCTCAAGATGGTCATTAAAGCATCATGAGGGCTTGGAAATTCTCAAGATGGTCACGGGGTCTGAGGTTCCATTGTAATTTTCCATCTGAGACATCTTGAAATTAGATAAGATTTCTTCTTTCATGATGCTATCAACAAAAGGGGAAATGATAAAACCTCTGTGCATCGCGCGTGTGGTTACTAGTAAATGATAAACAAACACGCCTTAAGAAATCAATGCCTACCATTTTCCCGCCATCTCCAACCTTCCTAATACTTCCTCTGGAATCCTCCTTCCCTCTTCTCTATAGATAGATCTCACTTTCCATGAAAATTGATTGATTCCACTTTACAGTATATATGTGGCTATTTACAGTTTCATTGATTCTGAGTCGCGAGAAATAGAAATGGATGGCCATCGGAAGAGAAAATCCTTTTCAGACATCACGAATACCTACAACCTGATACCGACCTCAGCGCTGCGCAAGCTCGTGGCAGCCTCCACCAATCCCACTTCAACCTCAAAGCCCCCGCTTTCGATTTTGAAGTCCAGCTCCATCTCCGAATCGTCTAATAGATCCGACGCAAGTATCGGGTCATCCAACGTCACGGCCGCGTGGAATTCCAGAATCGTTCAATTTCGAACTCCTCCCTACGCAATCTCTCCTTCATTTACTCCTCCACGTAATTTTTGTTCATGTGCTCAATTTGACATGGCTGTGTGTAATTTGTTTCCAAGTTCTATTTGTATTCTGACTATATTATAGAGGACTACCTAGGGTTTTCTTCTATTTGCAGTCCAGGTATGGGTCTCTGTGTTTGTTGTTTGTGCTTGCTCGAGTTGTTTCTTTGTTGAGTGGGAAGTGAATCTCAGTCTTCATATATGGATGACTAATTCATGAGTTTAATGCTAGATTGTCCTTTCGAAGCTATGTTTAATAAAATCCTAATTGCTTGTTGCTTTCGATGCCATTCCTTGAACAAGTGGGGAGGGAGAAGGATCTAATTCTTTATAACTTCATATTTAAACCTGCTGTCGTACTTGTTGCTTCTGAAACCTTGAAAATGGCTTGGCAGTTAATAAGCTTGGGCCACATTGCTGTCACTCGATTTTTTAGATTCATAGTATAAGTTTCTGTATCCGTGTGTGTATTTGGGTGCTGTTTTATTTAATTTGTTTATTTACTTGTTGAAGTAGTGCCTAATTTAGTAAATGGGATGTGCCCGACTTATTCTGCTTTGCTAGGATATTCTGTTTCAAACTTTCTCCATGTGATATGGCAATCTGTAAAGGGGTCATAGTTGATTTTACATATTTTTTTTAGTCAAAATTCTTTGTGTGATTGGAATTTGTGTGGATATTGAAGGTGATAGCGTAAGTAAGGATGCATCTTGTGAACGAAAACAGATGTATGAAAAGAAGACCAAAGAAACTGAGGATGCCTTTGCGGTTGTTAGTCCCACATCGGTTGAGAAAAGGAAGGCCAAAGGGAAGGCCATTGCTGTGCCATTGAGTTCTTCACCTTTCAAAGAAACGAACAGTATGAATCAGAAAAATAACTGCAAACCTAGTGTTCTGTTTGAGAAAGAGAATCAGAAAGGCAAGATGCATCATAATCTCTTTAGTGATCTAGTTGAGTTACATGAAGCGTCTAATAAGGGGAGTTTTAGTTCGCATAAGCACTATGGGAAAACAGAGAAACGGAAGGCAGTTCTAAACACTTCTGGACGTGAGATTGGGAAACAAGATGGCATGGAAAAGAGTATTATGGACAATTCCAGCTACTCACTTGAGAAAACAATTGATGGGAAAAAAGCGACTGCTGAGCTTTTTGTATCCCGGAGTGATGCAGAGAAAGCCATTCTTAGGCATTTGGGAATCTCGGTTATGAAGCCAAAAGAGGTCAGAAAGGAAGTTGTTAATCCTTCTTCTAGCTGCTCAGTTAAGACAACAATGGAGAAAGGAAATACTGTCTACCCAGAGGAATCAAGGGAGAAAGGCAAGTTAATCATGCAGTCATCAGATGATGTTGAGGTGACAACAGCTAAAGAGTTATCTGTTGCTGGGACACTCAACTCCCGGCCACGAAGGAGAAATGCAGGGAAGAGGAAAAATGATGTTGGGTCTTCCAGTTGCCCCCCTATGACGAAGACAAGAAATTTACAGTAATTTTCTCTTTCTCTCTAACATACACACTCAGTGACTGCTCTCCATGTCTACCAAGCATCAATAGGGTGCTGTCCATATAAGTGAGCCTTTTTTGACAGAGTTTGTGTTTGTATGTCAGATGATTTCCTGATTTCAAGTCATATTTCACCATAACCTACTCTTTCATGATATAGTAGTGACATGATATGATAAGCATAATGAGCATTATTTATATTACGCTGGTGCTTTGTTAGTATTGAAAATTGGAATGTATATCATGCTGTAATAGTTTTCTTTTACAGTTTGTATGATACGAACATGTCATCATTGAATGCCCATACACCTAGAGTTTATCGTAGGTTTTAAATATGGAACATATTGTTTCCTGGCTTTTCTTTTTTGTCTTGAGCATACGTATAGAAGTTTATTGAAATGATGGAATTAGCTTTATCAGAGGATTTATATATTTCTTTTATGAGAAATTAGATTCTTTATTTATTCTTTCCGAAGTATTGCTTTTGTGAGGCCAAAGAGAAGTTTGTTTTGAGGAACACAAGTATGGGATTGGGTTATTTTTTTGCCAAGTTTTTATACGGAGGTGTTGCATGTGGACATGTGTTGTATGATTGCAATTTCCAGAAGACTGAACATGTGTTGTTTTTGTCGCGTTATGTAGCTCCGGTGGTATATTTCCTCCTATTTTGAATGGATATGACACTTTGTGACATCATTTTATGCTTCTTTTCAGGGTTAATCTTGATGATGCTGATGATACAAAATTTTCAAAGTCGTGGACTGATGCTCAACGAAAATTGAGAAAGGTCTGTGCCAATGTTATTTTCTGTAACATTCACGAAACGTAGTCTGTGGTCCATGTTTTCATACTTCTTTGGTATTATCATTGTTGGCATCCTCTGTATGCAATGTGTTTCAATGTCTCCTATGGCTTGCATAGTTTCACTCCACATATAGCATTTTATGTTTTCACAATGTTCATGCCATTTATATGTACGTGCATGTAGTTGTAAAACAGGAGCTGTTTTAGACTAAAATCCTGTTCTAGCTTTCACCACATTACCTTTTATTTTATTATTGTGTCATATGAGATCAGTGAATTAGCCTTCTCCTTCATATTACCTCCACCATAGTAAAAGTCAATAGCTGTACTGGCACAAGCTTAAGATGTTTAAATCTTTGGTTAGTCTTTCAGCCTAGTTTTGTTTGATCTTTCTTTATCACATTGTTGTATTTGTTCAAGGATTTATTTAACCAAGTAATCTCCTTACGTACTTAAATGTATTTTCACATTGTTGTGTTTATCACATCTTATTTACTTATTTATATTACCAAAGTGAATTGATTTGTTTGATGCTTAAATTGGTTTTTCCAGAAGAGGTCGATGATCAAAGACACTAATGAACTGCCAGAGGACTTTATCGAACAACAAAGAGCATATTTTAAAGAAATTGATGAGTTTGAACTTCCTGAAGAGGAAGTATCACAGGATGAGTTAGACTAGGAAAAGCAAAAATGTATGCAGGTTTAAGTACCCATTGTACAGTTGTAACGTGATGCGTTAGAAAAGTATGATGAAGGGATTTCGATAGTTTTCTAGTTCTGTTTTACTGATATCAACCTTAGCTGTTTATATAGGAGACTTGTCTCTTGCAATGGATATAACATATATAATTCAGGAATGATCTAATTCAGTTTTACTGATATCACTCTTATGCTGTTTAGATAGGAGATTTTCCTCTTGCAATGAATATAACATGTATAATTCAGGCAGCCGTGTATTGATCAAAACACAAAAAGTAGTGCAGTAAACGAACTGAATTGAACCGAGCTTGGGCTGTTCGAGCTCGTGTTTGTTTACGTTCAAACAGTGTTCGTGTTCGTTCGTTTATTTTTCGAGCAAAAAATCGTGTTCGAGTTCGTTCGTTTAATTGTTCGTCAAAGTTCGAGTTTGTTCGTGTTCGAATAATTTAATACATAAATTCTTTAAATATGTTCGATTAACTTAAAATTTGTTCGTTCGAACTTGTTCGAACTCAAAAAGAAAAGAAATAAATAAAATAAAAATTATATATTATATTTTTATTAAAAATATTATGTAAATATATAGAAAATAAATAAAGTTATAATAAATTTCAGATTTTTTTTAATAAAAATATTATGCAAATATATTAAAAATAAAATAAAATAATATTAAATTAATGTTCGCGAACATAATCAAATGTTCACGAACGAGCTCGTGTTCGTTCGATTATTAAACGAGCCTAATATTCGGTTCGAACTCGGCTCGATTAACAAACGAACGAGCTTTTGTCGAACACAAACGAGCTCGAACGAGCTTTTGTTCGCAAACGTTCGGTTCGTTTATAACTCTAATAAAAAGTAACCTTCCTATGTATGAGTTGAAGGAAATCTTTTAGGGCGTGATTGTGTATGAAATCATTATGATTTAATTTGATTGGTTAAAGAGAGTTATTTTGAATAAAGTTGGTTAAGCGAATGATTTTGAATTTATAATTAAAAATATTTAAAATTCAATGATTAAAGTTTATGTCATGTAAAAGTAAGATGAATATTATTGAAATGGATTTGTAGTTAAAACTGTGTGAGTGTATGGATAGTAAAATTAAAGTTAATGTGATGTGAAAATGATTTGATTGAAATTATTTAATTATATTTATAAAAAGTAGGGGAATTGAGTTGAGATGAATTTTATGTTTGGTGATTGAAAATAAAATAACTTGATCGGTCAAAATGGATTAAAGTCGGTTATGATTCATATCCAAACGTGTTCTTAACTTATAGAAAGAGCGTGCTTGTGATTTGTTATTGAGAATCACTTTTTATAACTTCAATGTTGATAAGCCGACGATCCGAGTTGAGATTGAACCAGCAAACGAGAGCTTCGATCGTCCTTGAACAATTGAGACTTGCAAAAAGTGCCGGGAGGAGTTCCCGGCGTTAGCACTAGCATTCTTAAGTCACTACTGGGAAGATGAAGGGGAAAAGCTCTGTAAACGAAGTATTTAGTATGTAGAGAGTGCAGAAGATTTGCAGTTGTACCTCACCCCCTTTTTCATAGGGGAATACCTGCCGAATTTGTCTGCCCGAGTTGCCCACGGTCAGCCTGCACGTTTGCCCAATGTTTGTTCTTATCTTCATCCTAGTCACTCAGAGTTATCATTAGATTATTTCTCATCCTTCATTGATCGGTCTAACTCAGTTGTTGTCTTTTGTTACATTCATCTTCCCATTGCTGCCACAAAAGTGGTAGCTCATTAAGTCGCTCTGGCATTGTCAAGTCGCTCCTGCGACGTAGCATTCCAAGGCTTTAGGTTGTATTGATACTAGTCAAGTACTTAGGTAGCCTTGATCTCCTTAGGTCGTTCACGTAATCAACCTCAATCTACTTTTGGCCCTTAGGTCGCTCATCAACTAAAGCGTACATGGTTATTATTTTGGTTCTCCATTGGTTGTATCATCTAGTCCCCCATCCATTCCCCTCCCCCCCCTCGAATTTACTCCATGCAATCTCGAGCTATAAAGTAAAGATTATTCAAATTCTGGCATTTGACACTCATAATTGATATGGAGTTGAAAGGACACTTGGTCTCCTCGTATTTCTCTTGATACTTGTGCTCGATCATGATCGATCATTCCATCGTGATCCAAGGACCAAAATTCATAAAATTGGGTATAAATACCCCACTTTTCTAATCCAACACTTTTGCTTCTCTGTGTTCTTGATTTCCAGAGCCTTTTGCAACGTAAATAAAAAATGTTAATCAACAGTTTGACGCTAGAAGAAAGGGCTCCATTAGTTTCTTGGGGTCAATTTTTGACTTTTGGACACCACACCAAAAATGTTCATTTCTTTCTCTAAAAAACCCATTGGATAATGACGTCATCTAGTGAAGATGATCGATTGAAACAACAATCGCAGCGGCGACAATCGACAGAGCAAGCGTCTGTTGACTCTCCCACCATAAACCTTGCAGCGGTGTTTCAACACCGTGATTTTCTTAAAATCATGGAGGGCATTGTGGCATGAATTTTGGCGTCAACCACATAACATGTCACAGTGGAGGAGACGACGGATCACGGGTACCCAACCTTTTAAAATCGTCAGAAAAGAACAACCTCTCCCCTTCCTTGCTGGGATGAAAGATAAAGGGGTCGGTCAAGTAAAAAGCCACGGCCCAATCCCAAAATCGCGCGGCCAGAGAAGAAAATGGTCAACCAGGCCCTGACGGGGAGAACCTGGAGAGATAGTCCACCCCAAGCCTTCGGGGTTAGACAACCTAGTACTTCAGTTTTCTACAGACTCAGCAGTCAGAACGATCCGAAGCCCGACCTGAGGCAGATGATCCTCAAGGGTAAATCAACCAATCGCGATTCCGATGATGTCGTTGTCCTGAAAAAAAAAAAAAGATTGATGATTTGGAGCCTTGACAAATGTATAACAGAAGACACCACCACCACCTCTCGCGAGATCTTGCAGCAGAGTAGTCGACACGGCCTCTCCACTCTCCTCGAAAATCCTCCTAGAGCTTTTGCTTGACAAGATAGAGTTCCCCAAATTAGCTTTATGACGGGAACTGAGATCCCGAAGCCCATATCGACTTATATACATCCTGGATGGACCTCAGCAGGGCAGGGATGACCTGAGGTGTCAGATGTTCTCACTCACGCTTAGACCCAAGGCGAATAGGTGGTACCATTCTTCGTACCTCCACTCTACTGTTGGTGTATACACTGAAAGCTTGGCCTTAGATGTATTTACACTGAACCCATTTGAATGATAATCATGTTTAATTAAACATTCTATGCTCTGTTGTTTTGCACTTATATAAAATGGTTCATTATCGGGTGAACAAAACATCATTTTATTAGTGACATGCGAAACAAGAATAGAAGGTTCACAACCTAGATGGAAATGAACAACCTATCGTGAACAGTTGTTGTGTTAGACGTACAGTTGGTCTTGACTGATTAGTTTTACTAATATACTTTGTGTATTGAACAAATCCTAGAAAGGAAAAGTTCGTTTTATACTGATCGTCGTAAACGAACTAGACCTCAGTTAATTAATGCGTACTCTTAACCCGTAAGATATAAACTGGCATGTGCATGCAGTAAATATTACTTTAATTCACTTGGGTGAGATTCAGTTTATTAGATCAGTATATGTAACACCCCGACTTTTTAATACTATCAGAGTACGCATTTATCGCAATTTTTCTGAATAATAAAATATTATTTTTTTTGCGAAAACTGATTCGGGATGCTACCGTGAAAAACTTGATTTTTCTGAAAACCGTTAATATTTTAAACTGATAAATAAAAACGGTTATAAGTTCTTAACCGACTATCGTCGGAACAAAAACTGAAAATAAGTACTGATAGTTTTAGCAGAAACAAAGCGTGGCAAAACATATATATACATATCCACGAAATATCCTGAACTGCCCGCCAGCTCACTCCTCGTCCCCGACCCTGCGACCTGAAAAACATGAAATGCGTGGGGGCGTGAGCACTAAAACACTTGTGCTCCGCAGAAACTCATACTAATGTAAACATTGAAAATAATAACAATATCATGATCTTAGCATATATAACTGAACTGAAACTGAAACTGAAACTGAATCTGATACCGGTCTGATCTCGCGACATAAGTCACGTAACTGATAACTGAACATCTGTCGGCACAAACTAACATCGAAATCTGCCGGCACAAACTAATACCGGACCATGTGCACACTCTAGTGGTTAGATTAGGCCACTAAAACCCAGAATGGACCGGCGACCATTCCGAGCGGATACTGAATATACATACCTCAAACATGGTAGCGATATTATAATCAATGTAGTACTTAGTCTGAGTCCCCACCTGAACTGCTGAAACTGAACGTTAGTGCTGATGCCTGATCAAACTGAAATATAATATAAACAATTACTACTGACTATGTTCAGACTGATAATTTAACTGTTTAATTATGTTAAGATGCTCTACGGAACCTGACATGATATTCGGACTTATTCGGTATATCTGAAACCAGCTAAGTACGAAACTGAACTGATATTAATTAACTGAGCTGAACTGAACCCGGAATTTTAACTGAAATTGACACTGAAATTGAGAACCGGGACTGAAACTGACAAGTACTGACTGAACTGGTCCAGCCGGTCTGAACCGGTCTGGATCGGTCTGCCGGTCCGCTGAA